CCCTAAACACTTTGGAGAGGTGTGATGATAAGACAAAGACATGCCTAGGCCTCACAGTGTGATGTCACTGGATGAAGACTTGGTAGTGGCGAGAGTGTTCGGGTGCAGTGAATTCAATTCATTGAAAAGAATATTCTTGACCTGTCCAAATTCACCTGACTGTCATGAATTGGATGTGTCATAGGTGCTGGAAGGGAGGACATAATGTTGCCGTGACAGAACACACTTTGCTGGTCAGGGCTGCTTTAGGAGCAAGCGCCCACTCAGCGCATGCTTGCTTTCTTGGTATCCCCAAAGAATCATTTGTGTAAGAGCTTTCTTCTGCCAATCTCGAATTCAAAAAGAACTCCACCTGGACACTAATGGTGCACGTTGGACACTTCCATTCGCCTTCCGAGCGGTGCACGCCCTTGGACATGCCCTCAGTCTGGGTTGGGTCCACTCCGTTATGCAGCATCATTGCCTCATCGCCGCAGGCTCCACGGATTTGACGGTTGGGAGAACAAATTCGCTTAGTTTGGGTGTTTGTTCGAAGGAACAAAGACCGTTTGTGGCGGTTTGTGTTTGTGGATCTGAGAAAACCTTGGGCAATGGCAATCACAGCTTTTGGCTCCTCACCCATTGGTGGGATTCCTGGCACACTTTCCATCAAGATCTTAATTCAGGTCAAGAAGTCTCATTTTATACGGTTTGTTCGATCGACCCACATCACTGCAAAAATGCTACAAACAACAACTCAGACTCCAGCGGAGGTTGGAGTTGTGAGAACTTGCAATCCAAGCAGTAGCCACCTTTGTTCGGTTGAACTGTGGCTGAAACCGAGTGCTGTGACAAGCAAAGTTGATCAAACTTGGCTCACCTGTCCAGCTTCAACTTCCAACCACAAGCCTAGTTTACTACAGTTATCTATAGTTTATATATGTTTATATTATACAATAACGTTCAATATTCGCGCGTCCCTCATAATAACCACAGCACCCTCGCGAACAGCGCAGTGCGTTCTGTTTGGTTCGTTTGACCTTCGTTCACCTGCAGGCATTACCTTGTCTTCACCCGCACGAAAGGCGACTACCCGCTTTGATTAGCCCTTTCGCTGCAAATGTTGGGATCCTGAACACACCTGACATGTATCCAATGCCATGTTGAATGCTACCTGCATGCCTTGTGCTTTCTCGCGAAGCTTCCCAACACCCAAAGACCTGTGCAGGTAGATCACTCCCAGCCGACTCCTATTTTCGGCAGATCTGCTTGCGTTGGCTAACCATTTTCACTCTCGAATACAAGCTCAAAGGGCAACCTTTAGGTGTCATACCATGTCATACCTCCAGAGAATTGCAAACATCAAGGAAGGTCACAATGAGAAGGGCACAAATTGCTGCAGTGACACTGACACCGCAACGACAACCAAAACTTGGAGCTGAAGAACAAGCAACAAACGCAGGATACCCTCCAAACACTTGTCACCAGTTTTAAGGGGGTCAGGCAGGCAGCAAAATACGAGACTAAGTTAAGTGATGTTCAGTGTAAAAGAGTGTGATAAACTCTCCAGCTTTGTCCTCATGTGTTTTGTCTACTTCTTTATTGCAAGGTGGCCCCAACAGCCACACAATGGCTGCCAAGGAACATGCAAAGCAGAAGCTCCATCGTGATGTTTCCACTGCACCTGCGATGCAGCCCTTGTGACAGTTGCCAAAACCATCCAAAAACCATGAAGAATCGCACGTTTCTGATGACAAGCGGGAATGCATTAAGAACTGCACATCTGCGTTGCGGTTCAGCAACTCCAAGCACACGGGGGCATTTCCAGCCTGAGATGCAGTTGCCAAACAATGTTGAAAACCATCAGGCGTGCAAATGACAGAAGGGCATGAAACAAAAGAACCCGTACAATCTTCCTTAGTTGCTAGACATATCTATACATTTGCATTGTGCTCCCGCCCAAGAAAGAAGCCAGCAATCACACCAAGGAACTGCAAGAGCAGTGTTCAGCGGCGGAGTTTCCATCTTGGGCTCTTTTGCCTCAACTCCACACTTCCAACACTACGGGCCTTCTAACAATGAAACTCTTATCGTCAACGCCTTTCGTGTGACAAAGTAAGCTATAGAGTAAAGGAGACCAACACGGCCCTTCACTGCTGTGTCCAAGCCTCTAAGTTGGCTTTGAAATCCAACAGAAGGGAGACCACCTCCACATTGCCATGCCAGCATGCACTGTGAATGCCCGGTCCTCCAACAATGCAGTGGTGTCAGGAGTAGACTGATTCCGCGCTTCGGGAAGGATGAACTTTTTTTTATTGTGCATCGCTTCAGAACACATGTCACAATCTCTCGCTTAAACAAATTGCTGCCGAGACAGCACCTCTCTTGTTCTTTACAAAATCTCCCACTAGTGACCCTAATTGAACAACATCTTGACTCTGATCCCAGGCCTTTGGTGAGCGGATCCTCCTGGGTTGAAGGCCATCGCTAGTAGGTTGGAGGCAACGACCAGAGAAAACAGAGCAATTTGGGTACTGGAGACTCACAAACGACATTCCTTACATAAAGGACGCTACTACGGGCCCCTGGCCTTGCTATTAGGAGCAAGAAGCTACTAGGGGCTCCTGGCCTTACTACTAGGAGCAAGAAGCTACTAGGGGCACCTGGCCTTGCTACTAGGAGCAAGGACGCTACTAGGGGCTCCTGGCATCGCTACTAGGAGCAAGGACGCTACTAGGAGCAAGAAGCTACTCTGGCCTACTACTAGGAGCAACAAGTTACTACTTGCTACTAGGAGCAAGAAGCTACTAGGGGCTCCAAGCCTTACTGCCAGGAGCAAGAAGCTACTGGGGGCTCCTGGCCTTACTACTAGGAGCAAGAAGCTACCAGGAGCAAGAAGCTACTAGGGGCTCCTGGCACCGCTACTAGGCCTGGCCTTACTACTAGGGGCAAGAAGCTACTAGGGGGTCCTGGCCTTACTAGTAGGAGCAAGAAGCTGCCAGGGGCACCTGGCCTTACTACTAGGCTACTAGGGGCTCCTGGCATGGCTACTAGGAGCAAGGACGCTACTACGGGCTCCAAGGATGCTGCTGGGGGCCCCTGGCATCGCTACTAGGAGCAAGGACGGTACTAGGGGCTCCTGGCCTTACTACGCAGAAGCTCCTAGGCGCTCCTGTCCTTACTTACTACTAGTAACAAGAAGCTACGAGGGGCTCCTGGCATCGCTACTAAGAGCAAGGACGCTACTAGGCTCCTGGCATCGCTACTAGGAGCAAGGACGCTACTGCGGGCTCCTGGCCTTGCTACTAGGAGCAAGAAGCTACTAGGAGCGCCTGGCCTTACTACTAGGAGCAAGGACACTACTAGGGGCTCCTGGCCTTACTTCTAGGAGCACGAAGCTACTAGGGGCGCCTGGCCTTACTACTAGGAGCAAGGACGCTACCAGGGGCTCCTGGCATCGCTACTAGGAGCAAGGACGCTACTAGGGGCT